ATGTATGTATGTATGTATTTTATTTATTTTATTTTATTTTTTGCGAGAAAAAAAACATATGGGGGATTGGAAGGATGCAGACAATTACATTGATGGTAGTTACAATCTATCTGCAATATTAAAGCTGATCTACCCCCCTCCCCCCAAAGAAACTACAAAAAAACAAAGTACCCACTTTGGATATTGGTTCCTGGTTATATTAATTGTGTAAGCATTGACCAGAGAGAGTTTAAATCCATGCGAGAAAGTGTACTATTGCACACCTCGGGAATAACATTGATATTTAAGACAGACACGACACGCAGCCTAGCAACGAAAACAGGAAATGACACCAAACCATGGTCCCCGGGAAATTTAAACCGAAAAGACTGCTACTACAAAATGGAAAATCCTTTTAAATTGATTATATATTCAAATCGAATTGCACTCAAGACATGTTCTTCCCTACTATGGGTCATATTAGCGGGCTATCCCGGGGTAAAATCCATTACATTAGCTTTTTAAATCACAGTTTAAAAAATAATACGATTAAGTACCTTTGACGAAGGGAAAGGACATCAGAAGATCTTCTTCTAGTTTTAGTTACAGCACAATAAAAATTGGCATTACCGCCACCAACGTATGCGGGGTGTAATAACAGCCGTGGTTGATGCTTTTTGCCTACTTGGAAATTACGATATGAAACGTTGATTTGATCCTTCTAAGCAACTAGTGGGTCAGGTGGCGCCCCACTGTCTGATTCATATCGCGTGATTTCTGATGATTGTTCTCGATTATATCGACTGATTGGTTCTGTATCGGGTGTACAGTGATGCAACAACCCTCTTGACAATGAAAGAGAGTGAAATTCCTTGAATGACAGAACAATCTTGAACATTCCAACTGTTGTCTAATCTTTCCAATGATGATTAGTGGTAAAAATGAATGTAGTCAAAGAGGAATACAGAAATATTTGTTGTGGTGTAGTGTGAATACAAAAAACAACGCCATTTCCACTGAAATGTTGTGTATGCTATTTCCATTTTTGTGGTAGGCCTACATCATGTACCTTTTACCCACATGTACATATTACCTCAACTAGCCGGTGCTCCCGCACATTGACTCTGCACCGGTACCCCCCTGTATAAATAGCCTCCCTACTGTTATTTTATTTTACTTCTGCTCTTTTTTTCTCAACACTTTTTTGTTGTTGGTTGTTATGGGGCGGCAGGTAGCTTAGTGGTTAAGAGCGTTGTGCCAGTAACCGAAAGGCCGCTGGTTCTAATCCCCGAGCCGACTAGGTGAAAAATCTGACGATGTGCCCTTGAGCAAGGCACTTAACCGTAATTACTCCTGTAAATCGCTCTGGATAAGAGCGTCTGCTAAATGATTTATTTATTTATTGTACTTTTTTTATTAAAAAATAAATGCATTGTTGGTTAATTATTTCATAGTAATGTCTACACCTGTGTATTCGGCGCATGTGGCAAATAAAATTTTATTTTATTTTTGCCCCTCAACTCCATCTAGGGCTTGAATGAAAAACAGTTGTGTTCGTCTTAATGATGATAGTGATGATAGTGAATGTGACTGGCCAGTCTGGATGACGTCAACATTTTGGAGGGAAGAAAAAGGAACTCGTCATGCGGTTTGATCCAGAGACTTGGCTACCGGCGAGGAGACAGCTGATCGGATTGGAACGAAATAAAAATATATTTAAAAAAAAGCAGATAAAAAAAAAAAAGGAATATCGTTTCATTGAACAGGTAATATTGATTAAATACGTTTTACTAGTTGAACATGTAGTCAGTTTCTTTAAAAAAAAATTATCGAAAGGAAAGTGTGCCTGATTCTGTATCCGCCGTTAACGTGGTAACGTCTAAACCCCTGTAGCTCAGTTGGTAGAGCATGGCGCTTGCAACGCCAGGGTTGTGGGTTCGTTTCCCACGGGGGGCCAGTATGAAAAAAAAAAAAAGTATACACTCACTAAGTCGCTCTGGATAAGAGCGTCTGCTAAATGACTAAAATGTAACTGAAACAAGCAATGGCTGAGGAAATGGCATATCAGCAAACGGTTGTAGTATTTTTATTGAGTTTATAGCTAACGTTAACTAGACAGCTAAGTCAGCCGTTTTGTAACGTAGTACTAATGTTAGATCCTCTGGTCTTGCCTTTAACTTGCTAGTTAACCTTGGCCACCTCAACAACGCGCTAGTTAGTTAGCTAACCTTGGCCAGCTCAACAACGAGAGAGCTAGCTAGCTAACCTTGGCCAGCTCAACAACGAGAGAGCTAGCTAGCTAACCTTGGCCAGCTCAACAACGAGAGAGCTAGCTAGCTAACCTTGGCCAGCTCAACAACGAGAGAGCTAGCTAGCTAACCTTGGCCAACTCAACAGCGAGCGAGCTAGCTAGCTAACCTTGGCCAGCTCAACAACGAGAGCTAGCTAGCTAACCTTGGCTAGCTCAACAACGAGCGAGCTAGCTAGCTAACCTTGGCCAACTCAACAGCGAGCGAGCTAGCTAGCTAAACTTGGCCAGTTCGATAACAAGCTAGCAAACATTGCCCGTCCTTTGTCCACCTCAACAAGCTAAAGTTAAAGGTGATTAACTAAGAACAGTTTATCAACAAAACTGTCATTCAAATAGCTAGCTAGTAATGCAGCCTAATTTCCCGTTTTGATGGCTATACTACTTAGCTTACGTGGCTACACCCAAAAGCCGGTACGTTGTCATTCTACTAACGTCACTCCAAGCAAGCAGCACTGCAGTGGTTACGTAACACTCCTCGTGTCGGCATCAATGAACATTCCACAGGGCAAATTATGGAAGTCCAGTCAGCATATTGAACAAGTTGAACACCCCTAACTAACAAGTTATCATCTCTTGTTGGGGATTGTCAGCAACGTTTCATGGGAAATGATGTAACACCAAGGTTATTGAAGGTGGCCACGAGTAAACCATCTGCCTTTCTTCCATTGATTTATTTCCGCTACATACTGTACTCATGTAGCTTGCTACTAATTACTACTGTGCAGAGATGCTGGCACGAATACGATTTCTTCTAAAATAATTTGAAATGGAGAACTTGTTGTTCACACGTAATTTTGTTTCACTTCAAAGTAAAATGTTCTACACTAAATTGTTAAGAATTCAAGTATTAATTTGGTTGGAGGCAGATTCTCGTTTTACTGTGTAATGTATCTCACCTGTGGTAAGTTGCAGGTGGCTACATGGATAAAATCGCCATTCAACCAGTTTTGAGAAGAACCGAATATTTCTCCTCCATTGCACTCTATTGCAAAGTACAAGGGTGGGTTTATTTTAGCGTAACTGTTACTGGCTACTAAATATTTCTTTTCTATCTCCTTTCGATAATGTATTATATCATGACATTACGATTTTTTTGCTTTTCAATGGAAATTCCAAAGCCAACGATAGTGAACATTGAAAATATTCCTCTTCTCTGTCATCTCAGCATTGGGTAGACGTCAATAGGAAATTACTATGAAATAATACAAATATTTCAGATGTGGTTACATTTATATTTGACTTTATTTTTCATTCCTTACATACAAGTAAAATTGGCAGCGAGAAGAGAAATCCCAGTGCGAAATTATTTTTTAGCCTATTCATTGGTGGAAATAGCAGTCGATGGAAATGTATTTTACTGGTCATGCTTCAGTCTATTGGTTAATTTGAATAATTTAGGGGAATTAAATTGGCGCGTGTACAGTATATTATGCATTTTATCACACGGGTACAGCATACAGAGCATGCTTCATCAGCTCGTCACATCACTTTGCAATGAGCTATAGGGCTGGGTGGTATTCCGTATTTTATAATGAACCGGTATTGATGATATACAGCCTGACTATACCAGTGATGGTAGGCCTAAATCAGCATGTTTGTGCAACAGTATCTTCTAAATCAAAGAGGAGTACGCGAAGCATGAATGTTAGCTAACATGAAGTAGCTAAGATGACATTAAATGTAGCCAAATATTATAGGGTCCCCTAGGAAACACTTAGGTTCCTACCCTCTCACAAAAACTCCTCTCTGGCATTTTCATTCGTTGTCATGTCAAACCACAATGTATTCAAAGTGCCCACTATTACCGGGGTATTTGGAAATAGCCATGGGATGGTTTTTCAGTACCATCAATACCATTTAATATTTGTAGCTACTTAAGTAAATACCTGCAGTCAACTTGTGCAATAGGTTAGGAGATAAAGCAGATCGCGTTCTTATTTTACACTATGAAGCTTGCCGTAGTTCCCTAGAAGAGTTGAGCCAGTCACGTGTTTGTAAATGGCACAACGGGAGAAAGGGAACCGCCTATCGTTGCATCCTCGATTTGCATGTTATGTTTAATATGAATTACCGTAATCTCATTCTGAGCACCGTGGGTGGACGCCCTAATCGGGTTACGCACCCATGGGTCCGGTAAATTAAAATGCTGCCGGTTAAATGTCTAATGGAAACCCTGCTCTGTACTCCCCATACTGTTCTGTCTTTAGTCATCCTACTGTATTTAGCTAGGCCAGCTGGTGAGATGTCTGACAATTTATTCACTAGGTCTTCAAAAAAGAGGCATACTATCCCACTCTCTCCTTGTTGTGTACATTCTTCTCTCTCGTGCGGTCTGTGTGTATCTAACCTAATGTAGCAGGCGTAAAAGTGTATACATCTATGACTGAGCTGGGGAAAACGGGTGCAATGGATTATGGTCATTGTAGTTAATTACCATGTTTTTGTGCTGAGCTAGGTTGAATATTTGCTTAATGAAAACTACAACTCCTTTCAGCCCAGCGTTCCATATAGTTCTTGAGTTGATTTCTCTCTAGAGAAACGGCGCGTTGGGCTCAAAAAACGAAATGGTTAATTGAATAGTCGGTCAATTAATTGTTTAATAACCCCAGAAAAACCAAAATGTTGGTTAATTGCACTACTACTAATGGAGAGAGAATCTGCTTTTATAGGTACCATAGCTAACCTCTTTGAATTTTATCCAATAGGGAACATGGGTGACATTGACAAGGGAAAGAAGGCTTTTGTCCAGAAGTGTGCCCAGTGTCATACTGTTGAAAATGGAGGAAAGCACAAGGTCGGGCCAAACCTCTGGGGTCTGTTTGGACGCAAGACTGGACAGGCTGAAGGCTTTTCCTACACTGATGCCAACAAAGCCAAAGGTATGTGTGAGATTGTCACCATTCTACAGGAAATAAATAGACTGACAATGTGACACATTTTTTATTCTCATCCTAACTTGTCCCTTCACGTGATATTCAGGCATTGTCTGGGACACTGATACCCTCATGACGTACTTGGAGAACCCAAAGAAATACATTCCAGGAACAAAGATGATCTTCGCAGGCATCAAGAAGAAGGGCGAGCGTGCAGATCTCATAGCATATTTGAAGTCTGCAACTTCGTAGATTAACATCTACGTTTTGTTCAGTGTTTTTTTTTTTTTTTTTGTCTTCTAGAAATATCAACTGTTCAGAGGAAAAGGGGAAGCTTAGACTCTTATTCTTAGCATTTTAACAGTTATGTCTGATAATATAATATGCCATTTAGCAGATGCTTTTATCCAAAGCGACTTGCAGTCATGTGTGCATACATTTTTACGTATGGGTGGTCCCGGGGATCGAACCCACTACCCTGGCGTTAAAAGCGCCATGCTCTACCAATTGAGCTACAGAGGACCACATGTCTGATGTTGCGACTCTTTCATTAGTCTGCATGACATAACTGCTGGGACTCTGAATGGCGTTTGCATGATCAGTTGCCATATTTATCACAGCTGTGTCTTTTTGATCTGTTCCTCCATCTTGATGGCGTATATAATATCCCCTGGTTTAACAGGCGCTAATATACCTAGTAAATTATTGAACCATAGACTAAGTACTCCAGGAATGTATTGAGTCAAAGCTGTGTGAAATATATGCAATGAAGCAAACAACGGTCTAAATTACACTAATTGTATGGTTACTGGTTTTAATACTTGCATGGCTAATGCAAACGTTAAATCAGATTTGGAATAGTCTAAATTTCAAAGGGTTACCTTGAAAGTAATCGCTACCCCAGACCCTGGGAATGTCTTCATGTTGCCAATACTTCATGATATGTAAGTTTGTTAATTTAATAAATGACATGCTAAACAAGTGTCCCAATTTTGTTTTTATGTGGTCAAGGATCAGGAAAGCAACACTGCCACTACCTCCCACTCCAACCAAGGTGCATGAATTGAGCAAAACCCTGATTTAAGGGATTTAAGGCTTGTAACGTGTCTTGAGTTCAGGTACAAGTATTAGACAAATGTTTATATTATGATTAAAGGCAAGAGGCGGCAATATAAGGCTTGCCTGGTTACCCGAACGCCTTCCTCCGGCCAAACGCCACGCCTACGGACGTTAGACCGCGAAACACATTCTAACCGTTCTGATTGGTCCCAGAATACGTGGGGTAAAGCGTCATTTTGAACGTTCGTCATTTGCTTTGATACTCTGATTGGTTAGAGATGATCCAGTTGCGGGTTCCTTGTGACGTCACCGCAAACGACTTCAACAATGGCAGACTGAAGTATGTAGCGAACACAGCAGCGGAAGAATTCAGTTTGATTCGTCAGGCAAATATAAGGCCCCTGTAAGTGTTTGTTAGTTCATACATTAAAATGGCAGTGTTTCAGAAGGACACTTGAATGACCTTGTCTAACATTAGTATGTGAAAGAGTAGTGTAGTGTATTAAGATTATGACTTGGTTAATGTTTTCAAGTGGAACCTGAGGGGATGTTTATTTAGGGTGACGCCCCAGGGGAGACAGGGGATAGGACAGTAGAGGGAGCCATTTTGTAGTGACACCCCTGTTCGTTGGAGACAGGTGATTGGACAGCAGAGGGAGCCACCCATATTTTTGCATATCTTATAAATATAGGCTAGAGACAAAGGAGGTTAGAACAGACATATTATCTTTGGACACTGTTCTCCAGACCCTGCAGGGTCTGTAAACTTATGCTGAAATCTTGTGATATAAATACAACTTATAATCGAAGTACAGCCTAAGCGGACTCTTTGTTTCACAGCAATAATTACCAGCATTGACTCGACACTACAGTAGTAATGCTGCATTCATAACCAAGGTGGAAATTACCAGCTGTGAAGTCATAAATACCAGTTGGACACATTCACGTGCTTTGAACTAATTGAGAAACGCTGATTGGCTAATGGCCAACAAGTTGAGTCAACCATAGACTAAAGGTACACCTATCATGCTTAAAAAAACATTAATAGATTGCTTTTTATAATGTTTTGTTGCATTTAACTGCTGAAAATGCTATTGAGGTAATTTCTTTAGTAGGTGACGTCAGCATGTGGGAGTCCGAGCGCAGGGATGATATGCCGCATTCAAGTGCTAGTCGGAACTATGGAACTCAGAAATGTCTGACTTGCTAACTGGTTGAACGCGGCACACGTAAAACTACAACCCATTAGAAAGTCTGACATTTCTGAGTTTCCAAGTTCTGACTAGCAGCCAGCAATAGACCAGTTTCCCACTAGTAATTACCAGTTGAAGGGGTGTTCAAGTAAATTCCACCTTCGCACTTGGTTATGAACGCAGGGTAAGTGCCCAATAGTTTCTCAATCCTCAGTCCATGGGTTGTTACAGGGGAGGTCAAGCAAACTTGAATGGAATGGCCAAACCCATAGAGAGAAAGGACACTAGCCCAAAAGCTTTAGCATGGGCAGCGCCATTGAGGACTTTCACCATTTTAAAGTAGTCAACTGGGCGGGACTTCCTGCGTTGAGGAAGGATCACATCATTCCATCCGTGTCATCGGGAGCGATCAGCCAATGAATAGCCTCTACCAGGCTTTCACCTCACCTTTGTTATGAAAGCATGTATTTAATAATTACCTGAGCATTAATGTCTCTGAGCAAAAATCGGAGTATTTATTTAACCATAATTTCTCTTTCTAACGGGGGCTTGACCTGCCATGCTTTTATTAAAATGTAGAAAAACAGCCTTTTGTTATCTTGGACCATAAGACAAATAGATGGAAGTTGGTTGTAAATAGAAGGCTCCCAGGTTTGCAGTATTTAGTGACTGTCACGCTGCAGTAATCCAAATACCAATGAAAGATGGCAACTTTTGCTCATTCAGTGTAGAATTTAAACATCCACAGAGGCGCTTCCAACTACACTGTCTTTAATAATAGATGACGTTTAAAGACATTTTCACTACTTGCCACCACATTAATAGCTACTTATTAGCCAAAGTGAATGAACACTGGGTTGAACAGTAGTAAGCTGTTTGGGGATACACACAAGGGTTAGTGAGTATTGCTGGTGTGTCTTGACAGCCCTAACCCTTCCGTGGCCAGGCAGCCCTAACTCTTCCGTGGCCAGGCAGCCCTAACCCTTCCGTGGCCAGGCAGCCCTAACCCTTCCGTGGCCAGGCAGAGGCAGGCAGCCCTGTGATGTAGGCTGTCTTGTTTTATCAGTGTATCTCTTAGCCCTGTTAGCTCCAGAAAGAAACAACTGCATGGAGCTAAACACAGAGGAATCTTTGAAAATCAACATAAAACCCAACTTGAAAGTTTTGTCATTCAGATGCGTTATTGTAGGTAGAATGCACTTTCCTTATGAAAGGTTTAGAGTTGTCCCGCTGTGTCTAATGGATGGAATGACTAACACACTTTTCATGTGTTTTCAGCACGTTTCAAATTGCATTAGCATCACATTACTTCAGGGATGGTTACAGCTGAATTAGTAATGAAATCCAATGTTGGCATTTGAGGACGACGGAAGCTGCATGCTACAATGCAGTGGTAGTTTTATCAAAAGACCATGTAGAATTACATTGATCAAGTGAACACTTTCAGATAGATGATTTATTAGCAGTTGGTATAACCACATACACACTCCACATCTGTTGTAAATAAGTGCTGCTCACCATCATACTGGACCCTCATTGAATATATTGCTACAGCTCAACATGTTGTCTTTGTTCTTAAATGTCACGGTGTGTAAATGGTGTTATGTTGATTCCCTACAGGATTAGAGTACTTTGGGGAGATTGGATAATGGCATCATTCTATTTTCTCATCTTTATTTGACAAATACACACATTTGAATTTCTCATATGCAAATAACCATATGATGCAGTCTCAGGCATTATCATTTAGTTCTGCATGATAATATACTGTAATACTACTGACAATATACTGTAATACTACTGATAATATACTGTAATACTACTGATAACCCTGAAATGTTATTGTGCAAAATTAGCTAATTGAACACTGCTAGTTTACACTCCCCTTTTGAACAGTGAAATACTGTAAGTGAAGTGTGTCTACAAATGTCTTGTCTGTATACCTGTCAATAAACCTGAAAATATATACCTGTCAATATGCCTGTCAGGTGATTGAGCTGAAACATTTGAAATGGCATTGGCAGCCAAGTTTTTCTCCAGGCTCCGCCACATTCCCTGTCAAATTGAGGTGAAGCAAAAACGGTGATAAAAACTTAAAAAATAAAAAAATCACTACCATACACTGGTATAGAACGATGAGGGCGGAGCCAAGGTCCCATCTAACCTTTTCCAATATTAAGATAGGAAAAGGTTTATCAAAACAATCCTGCCGGTTACTAGCAGACATTGTCTCTCTCTTTCTGGGTGGAATGGCACCAGACCAATGGGTACAGCCGATAATTGGACATTTTCAATTAGGTATTTAAGTACAATTTCTTTCAGCAACATCCCCTCACTTCTATAATCCTAGGCTCATACCTCTCACTGCTATAATGGTATCCTGGCCTGTATGATAACTGAGATTAGGTGAGACGATAATAAGACAGTAAGTCAGACAATTAAGTCCTTTATGGCTGACTACAACAGTTGATAGTTTTGACTACTACAGTTGATAGTTCTGACTACTACAGTTGATAGTTCTGAATACTACAGTTGATAGTTCTGACTGCTACAGTTGATAGTTCTGACTGCTACAGTTGATAGTTCTGACTGCTACAGTTGATAGTTCTGACTGCTACAGTTGATAGTTCTGACTGCTACAGTTGATAGTTCTGACTGCTACAGTTGATAGTTCTGACTGCTACAGTTGATAGTTCTGGCTGCTACAGTTGATAGTTCTGACTACTACAGTTGATAGTTCTGACTGCTACAGTTGATAGTTCTGACTACTACAGTTGATAGTTCTGACTGCTACAGTTGATAGTTCTGACTGCTACAGTTGATAGTTCTGACTGCTACAGTTGATAGTTCTGACTGCTACAGTTGATAGTTCTGACTGCTACAGTTGATAGTTCTGACTGCTACAGTTGATAGTTCTGACTACTACAGTTGATAGTTCTGACTGCTACAGTTGATAGTTCTGACTGCTACAGTTGAGAGTTCTGACTGCTACAGTTGATA